TAATGGAGGAGAGAGGAAGAGCACAAGTGAGGAGAGTTACACTAACAGCTTTGTTGTACGCTGCTCACTTGACAACAGACAAGTGGCACCATCCTCTCTCTCCCCTTTCATCCCCACTTCCCTGGGGATACCGGGAGAGGGAGGGAGGGGGAGAGAGAGAGAGAGGGAGGGGGAGGGGGAGAGAGAGAGAGAGAGAGAGAGAGAGAGAGAGAGAGAGAGAGAGAGATGGCAGGCTACCAGTGTGTGGGGGGAGTGGCGCGCGCCTAACACCCCCCCCCACACCTACCTTTCACAACCACAAATACACACAAACGCCCCCAACCCTGTAGGTTCACACCTCCAATCCTTCCTCCCGGCAATCCATACACTCCCTCCCTTCCCTCAAATCCTTGCCTCCTAGACCAGCTATACTATGGCTCATACAAACACAAATTATCAGATACAAATAAAAAGTTGAAAGACAACAATTACATGCAAGAGTAGACTCGGTAATTGCTAATTACGAGTCATGTGCAGGAGCGGAGACTGCACACTTGCATCCACGAATAGGCGAGTACATATGTACACGAGCGCGTCCACAAGCAAGGTATCTACTGAAAAGTGTCTGACAAATGGTAACTAACACGCGCATACATTAGTGAACATTAGCAAAAAGAGGCACGAGCTGCCGTAACTAAACACCTTCATAAATACGGGTCATCTTCAGGTGGGATTATTAGTAGTAGCAGCGAAGGGAAGAATTTATTAATACCTCCAACACACACACACAACTTCCTTGTACTTGATCCTACACACTGCTACGTACTCCCCCCCACACACTGCTACATTCTCTCCAAGTAATCTGTTAAGTATTATGTACCTCAAGGTGCCAGCATCATATACCGTAATCACTACCTTGACAGCAGTAGCCCCCCAAAAGCCCTAGTTCTGATCTTAGCACGCAGTATAAATGCGTGCCAATATCGGCAACACTGTTGTGTCAATGACAGTTTAGCGTCAATTCAAATGTGTACTAAGTGCCCCCCCCCCACACACCTAGTTCTCTCGCGGATATTAAAATATCGATAATTGGAGATGGTGAGGACAATTATAATTTAAACTCACTAAGCGCTAACCCTTAAGGATGAGATCAAGCCAGTTCAAGGAGGGGTTCATCTTAAGAAGTACAAAATGCCTAATTTTATAGTGTAACGACTTTTTGCATTTAAACGAATTTTGGAATATTATGTGTACGTGTTTAAGGGGACAGACGAGCGAAAATTTATTATATAAAGTGAAAAAACCTGATATTTCGCAGTGTTCACGATACTTTTTAGGCATTTTAAATATTTAAGTTTTACCTCTAAAATTAAGATATTTATAGTTATGCACAGTAGTCAGTAACTTTTATTTCGTTGCCGAAAAAGAAGTGCCACCTTTTTGAAGTATAAGTCATGTAAACATGGAGGATCGTATGGCCCGTGATGACATGTGGTGGACAGAAAAAAAAGAAGATTGTTGCCCTGGCAATTCTTTGGTTAAAGAACCTTGTCCGTTGTTTCAAAATCGACTGACCCAGCAGATTCTGTTCCTTATTTCCAAAATCCTTTCAATAGGCGTACGTTATTTGGAGGGTCTGTCATATTTAATAAGGCCTCGTGTAGGTGAAACATCGTAAATACTCCCCCATCCCCCCCCTGTTAGTATATTTTAAAACTATCTTTCAACTCCACGAGTCATTCTCAAAAGTTCTTAAACTCGGTGGGATCAGCATAGTCACAGAGGGGACGACCTATTGAAGTGAAACATTCTAAGAGGAATATAACAGGGTGTAGTTCACTAACAACCTCTAGGCGCCTTTTAGCTAAATCACACAAGTAACCAAAATGAGGACAGTTACTCGATGTAGGGAAGCGTCTGAACCAAAAATGAAGGGGGCCGTCCTGGTAAATATGGGTTAAAGAATTGTGGGGGCAGTCCTTGCCATTGCTGGGGGAAAAGATTTTCTAGTTAGAGCACGGTAGGGTGAGCTCTAGATAGTGGGGTTGTCTTAGCCTGGAGAGGAAGGGGGTGGGGCAGAGAAGACAGGTGAGAAACTTCCAGGGTATGAAAGCAGAACTAAGACAGCAACACGGCAAGTAGAGGCAGGAAGCATCGTTGCCTCGAGAGGTTTCCTAAGATGCTTTAATAGGTGCTCATGAGGTGAAGAGGCTGTAATCCTTGGAGGAAGGGAAGAGAGGGAGAGTTCGGGAGGGGAGAAGAGGTAAGGGGGGAGGGGGAAGACTGAGTTGGGTGAGAAGAGGGAGAGGGTGTAGAGAGGAAGAAAGAAGACGAGGAAGAGGGATAGCGAAAGAAAGGAGAGGAAGGAAGGAAGAGGAAGATTGAGACACTTATGCAGCATATGAGAATCTTTATTCAGGAAACGTTTCGCCACACAGTGGCTTCATCAGTCCAATACAAAGAGGAAGGCGCAAGGAGAGGAGGAGTATGAGGTAATCAGTCCCTCAGCCTGGAGTCGATGTGTTCAGTCCATCAATCTTGTAGAATGTACAGCATAGGGCCGTAGACGTGGCTTATATACTGTAGTGAGGTGAGGTGAAGCAGGCGGAGGCGGGGTCATAGTGGTACCATCCACTATTCGAAGTAGGTCTTTGTCCAAAGGTTGAACAAGTGTTGAAGAATTCTTTGTAACAAGATCCCATGATGCTGCAGTGTGACAGTTGTGACGAATGGTTTGAAAAACCGACAAGTTGAAGATTGAGACACTTATGCAGCATATGAGAATCTTTATTCAGGAAACGTTTCGCCACACAGTGGCTTCATCAGTCCAATACAATGAGGAAGGCGCAAGGAGAGGAGGAGTATGAGGTAATCAGTCCCTCAGCCTGGAGTCGATGTGTTCAGTCCATCAATCTTGTAGAATGTACAGCATAGGGCCGTAGACGTGGCTTATATACTGTAGTGAGGTGAGGTGAAGCAGGCGGAGGCGGGGTCATAGTGGTACCATCCACTATTCGAAGTAGGTCTTTGTCCAAAGGTTGAACAAGTGAAGAATTCTTTGTAACCTCACCTCACTACAGTATATAAGCCACGTCTACGGCCCTATGCTGTACATTCTACAAGATTGATGGACTGAACACATCGACTCCAGGCTGAGGGACTGATTACCTCATACTCCTCCTCTCTTTGCGCCTTTCTCTTTGTATTGGACTGATGAAGCCACTGTGTGGCGAAACGTTTCCTGAATAAAGATTCTCATATGCTGCATAAGTGTCTCAATCTTCAACTTGTCGGTTTTTCAAACCATTCGTCACAAGGAAGGAAGAGAGAAATGGACAATTAAGTTTCATTAACTCGAAAATAGTAACTGTTACAAGACCCCTGGGTACATCAACGCACTACAACCATAAACGGCAAGGAATATACACTAAGCAACAACAAAAAATACTACATTACCTTATAAAACTCAAAAGATTTTCATGTCATACTTTACCACACGAGGTAATGTATTAGCCTGAGCCGGAAGTCTAGTAGGGTCTACCTGGAGTCTACATGGAGAGCATTCCGGGCATCAACGCCCCCGCGGTCCGGTCCACGACCAGGCTTCCCGATGGATCAGGGCCTGATCAACCAGGCTGTTACTGCTGGCCGCACGTAGTCCAACGTACGAACCACAGCCCGGCTGATCCGGCACCGACTTCAGGTATCTGTCCAGCTCCCTCTTGAAGACAGCCAGGGGTCTATTGGTAATGCCCCTTATGGCTGATGGGAGGCTGTTGAACAGTCTTGGGCCCCGGACACTTACTGTGTTTTATCTTAGTGTATCAGTGGCCCCCCTACTTTTCACTGGGGGTATGTTCCATCGCCTGCCAAATCTTTTGCTTTAGTAGGGAGTGATTTGTGTGTGTAGATTAGGTGTGCTATGTCTCAACACACTATACGGAACTACTCCATTCCACTTTACTACATATTCACCACTTAAGCAAATTAAAGTGGAGGAAAGTGAATTATATATCTCATACTATTACATTAATAATTACTTATTACAACAGTAAGCTTGATTAGTGGAGAGCGACCCGATACTAATGGGAAGATATAGAAGACCTTGAGATGGGGGGAAGGGGGGAATACAACATACTGAGCCCATATGCATATTCACTTTCAGTGAAGACCAGTCAGGCTCCCCGGATGTTTAATATTTTTTCTGTATTGCAATTTTATCAAAATCAGAATAAAGTATTAGAATTGAGTACAATCTTAGATTATCCTAGTAATTAGTTATTTTTAATGGGGAAAAAGGAGATGTAATATCTTGAGTCCAGGTCTTAAGTGTCTGAAGACAGGAGGCAGAAATGCTAATCCCTAACATCTTCATATCCTAGTTCCACATGTGGAATTTCGGCTCTACGAGCGACCACGTGGCGAGTTTTCCACGAGAGCTGACCTCTCCAGCCAGGAGTTATGGGAGGATGGGGGGTGGGACGTAGAGGCCTGTTTAATAAGCTCAGGGCAAGTTTGGTGGCCAGACACTGTCGGGAATATAGCCGAGGCCCTTGTGAGGCCTTGTTTTACAGAGTGATCTACAAAAGTAATTATTCATTTGGGCTCAGTATACTGTATTCACCTATCTCAAAGATATTATATGGTATCTAGTATCGGCTCCCTCTCACAAACCAAGTATTCTATTGTAAAGTATTAATAAAATGTAATACTATGAAACAGTGTTCACTTCCTCTATTATTTTGTTACTCTTAAGACTGAACTTGAGTTATGAACACCTGGTGAGGTGGAATGGAGTCTAGTTCCATGTAGTGTGTAGTCAGAGATGATGCACCATTCTTACCTCATTACTTCCCCATATTATGGGTAAGAAAGGTTACCTACTCGCCTGTGATACGCCAAAGAAGGATGTGGAGGAGGAGGATCGAGAAGGAAAAGGATGAAGGAATGGGAAGAAGGAAAATACGTAATGGGGAGGGAGGGAGGCAGGGGGCCCGCAACACGCAGCTACAGCTACTCACCTTTGTGTACGTTGGCACCTTTGACCTGATGGTATCAAGGTCGCCGACGACCTCCTTGTTCGACCTGTAAGTACACAACACTGCGTCAAAAACACTTGGTACACATACAACATTGCATCATTAATACTCATTAAACAGACACACACAAACGCACACACACAGGCAGGCGCGCGCGCGCGCACGCACGCGCGCACACACACACACACACACACACACACACACACACCACACACACACACACACACAACACAACACACACAAAGAAATATATTTATTTCTCTAAAACAGGCACCCGTGAATGACACTAGATTTACAATGTAAATGTCAATGAGGATTAACAACGTAAATAACTCAGTTTACAGCGTAAACCCTAAACATATTGCTTAAACACTATTTACGGGATTTGCTGCATAAAGGGGCAATGCTGTGCCCATACTATTCAGGATATATTAGCAGGTGGGGCAGGACACTACTTGGAAAGAACATTATAATATATATATATATATATATATATATATATATATATATATATATATATATATATATATATTATAGATATAATAATATATATATAACTAGTCAGGGCACCAGGGCAAGCTGAAAAGCATAGAAAAAATGACTGTCGGGCAGCCATAGAACGGGCAAGGTATACAGTTGGCATAGAGAGATATAAGGAAGCATATTGGGAAAAACTGAAACACTACTAGTTGTGGCTCATGAAAGGACAAACGCTACTAGTTGTGAGTCATGAAAGGACAAACACTACTAGTTGTGGCTCATGAAAGGACAAACACTACTAGTTGTGGCTCATGAAAGGACAAACGCTACTAGTTGTGAGTCATGAAAGGACAAACACTACTAGTTGTGGGTCATGAAAGGACAAACACTACTAGTTGTGGGTCATGAAAGGACAAACACTACTAGTTGTGAGTCATGAAAGGACAAACTACTAGTTGTGAGTCATGAAAGGACAAACACTACTAGAGGTGGGTCAAAGATACTTTCATAGAAGTGAATGAGAAAGGCAGAGAATTTCTTCCTTTTTACAATGAGGATATATGCTATTTATTCTGAGGATATATGGTAAACAAACTACACTACTGTTTCAACTCTGCATGCACATGAGCATGCCCACTCGCACATACGTGACCATATTTTTAAACTCTCCAACAATACTGATACACGAGTTATAACACTCAATTACTCCTCCAGTAACTTCTTAATGTATTAGACCCAACAACGCTTTCAGTAAAAAAAAAAAAAGTTATAATTAAAAGTATTATTAATCTCTCAAACCAACTTCAAGACCGGTCAGTCAAGTTGCATATAAATAAGTCGTTTGATGACGTCAATCGTCACAGACGTCATAGGGTACTCCACTTGAATACTTTGTGGATAAATCCTTACAACTTTTTGTCGCAGTCTTTCGAGTGCTCAGAGAGTCCTTAGACGCAACAGAAAAGATGGGGGAGAGGAGGAGGGGAAGGGGAGGAGATATGGAGACTGGTGTATGGGGGATATTTGGGGTATTACCTAGGGTATACTTGGAGAGGGTATCGGGGATCAACGCCCCTGCAGGGTGAAAGAAATTGTACATCAAAGACTAATAAAGCATGTGGGCAGGCAGCAGGACGCGCACTAGGAAAACTCCCAACTAGTGAACAGTGATGAGGAGGGTTGGCTAGAAGAGACATGAGAGTATACAGTAGGAAGGGGAAGAGACAGATCTAGGGATTGTGTAGATCAAAGTACACTCATGGGGGCCTGACATTAAAATCTGTGTACAGTTTTATGCAGGTGAGAATAAAACTTCTGGGGTCTCAGAATGTAACACTTGAGCGTACAGTTCAGAGTACACTCATGGGGGGCTGGGTATAGGAGACCAGAGATGGTCCTCACTGGATGGTAGGGGTGGTGGGAGTAAAGGAACTCAGATGAAAGACTACTGAGAAAGTTCACCTCACTGGTAGAACTAAGAAAAAAAAAAAAAGCGGGGGGGGGGGAGATATGATCACGATATAAAAGATTCCCACAGATATCGACAGTTATCAGGGAGATACTGAAATTAGAGGATCAAGAATATGGGAGCACAGATTTCAGTTAAAAACACTAACTCAAACTGTAGGAAATGGTTTCCGCCGTGGAAACAGCTGGATAGGAAAGTGCTGGAAGCAAATCTCAGTACACCGATTCAAAAGCAGATCTGCCAGGGACCAAGCAACAAGGAACTGAAACTATCCCCCACCAGTACAACTAGGTAAGAAAAACAAAGTTTGCATTATCTAGTCAGAACAAAAAAAATATGAACAATTCACATCACACAATGTTCAAAATGTAACTACTATTAAATAAAAATGTGCAGACCTATAATGCAACTGGGAAACTACAGGCAGAAATGTTATGCAAGACGAGAGCAGTAGTATACGAGATGCAAGTGTCAGTATGTGGCTATTGTCCACATCTAGTGCCCACAGTAACATTATATTAACTGTATCCGAGAGACGTGGCATAAAATGCCGACACCACGAGAAAAAAAAAAGGCAGAGTATAATGCGATCCTACATTGTCAACGTTTCGCCCACACAATGGGCTTTATCAAGTCAAACAAATAGAGCAATCAGTTTGTGACTTCATAATGCGAAACAATGTCAATAAAGGATCTCATCATACTGCATCTCTTTCTTTCCAAGAATACAATATGGCGAGACGGGAAATGTAAAAGCAAGAAGCAATGCGTGTATATACGCATTAGCTGCTACATTCTTTAAATTGTATCATGCTATAGCTGGGCCAGGGTTGAGGATGGGGCGGAGATGAGGGCGGGGCAGAGATATGAGAGAGGGGGCAGAGAGAGGGGGCAGAGAGAGGGGGCAGAGAGAGGGGGCAGAGAGAGGGGGCAGAGAGAAGGGACAGAGAGAGGGGAGGGGGCAGAGATATTAGGGGGAGGCAGAGGGTGTACAGCGTACTGTAATAATGTGTCATGCTACATCATGCCGGAGCAGAAGAGGGCGGCCCCAAGCACACAGGTGCGCCAGTCTACCTGATCACTTTGGGGTCGTGTTCGCCTCCTTCCTTGCCGTCAGCGTGTTCTTTGCGCTTGCGGTGGAGGCCGGGCAAGTGGAGATCTTGTCGTGAGGCGGCCGTGTCGTGTGCTACCTCCGGGGGGGCCTGCTTGCCACTCTCCCGTGGGGGCTCTGGCTGCCTGACCTGCGCGCCGGCGGGGTCGCAAGTGGACGCTGGTGCTTGGGTCACAGGTTCATCAGGGTCAAAGGTGACGGACGAGACCGGATGGAGAGGCAAGTCATCTGGATTCTTGTCTGTGCCCCCTCCCGGGATGGTGGAAGTGGATCCCCAGGCCGCTACACACACACTGCTCCTGCTGCTGCTACTGCTGCCCACCTCTCCCAGCCTGCAGGAACACTCAGTGTCACCCTCCCGAAACTACTTCACATCCCTACACACTATTTGTCTATCTCCCTACACAAACTAGGAGGGGATAGTGGTAGAACAATGGCATGGTTTACAAGAGGTATTAAGTGATACAATCAATGGACTGAAACAATACTATTAGATACGGAAGCCAGGTCACGAACTTAGCTCTTCTCATGTGCCTATAATTAGGTAATCACTGGCGTTACTACACCCATTGGTGCTCGACCAAGCCGAGTAAAAAAAACGTATTAAATACTTCAAAATTCTCTCACTAATACTGCTGCATATTCAATTCACAAGGTATTAATTTAAGAATACAAAACTACAATCATCCATGGACACATCTGTGTCAGTTACAAAGCACTAGAGCCATTCAGTTAATTTGTGCCCTCAACTAATAGCTGCTGATAATTTGTTACTGTCACGACCAACCTATTGTCATATTACAGAAAACATCAACGGCCAAATGCAACAACTGTTTGTGAAATGTGAAAAAAAAAACAATGTACACAATTAGTTCTGTCAATGGCCAAAAATGTCTTATGCCGTAAAGAGATGATTTCCGGAAAGCTTCTACAAGAACTGTGGTACATCTCCTCTACTTGGGTACACAAATTTGGTATTGCTAGACTGTGGAATTTCTATTCCAAAATATTGTCTATAGTATTAGCATAGTTCAGCAGTTATAATGCAAAGTGTAAATATATAAATTAGGCAAGAGACAGATGTGTGAAGCCAACCTAACAAAATACACACAAGAGCCTTCGTCCCAACATATGTCACCCACTGCAACTTTTTTTTTTATTGCCACTTCATTGACTTCATGAATGTCAGTCTCATTTTCACCCAACTGTGCAGATTTCGCACATCGCCAGTTATGTGGAGAAAGAACCTAATATTCAAATAATCTCCCCCCCCCTCTCTCTCTCTCTCGCCTGCATCATCACCTTCACCCACCTTAAAACTCTTATGGATATATTACTTTTATGTCCCTGCCAGGGTTTGTTAATAAATAGTTTTTGAATAGAGTTAAGGAAAAGGCGGGAGATGCAAACTTGTTATAAACACTGCCACTAACAGTAACAATTTTGGGATTTTCGTCACCAAAGGAAAATCACAATCAGACCCATGTTGTGGGAAAAAAAATTGTGAAACAGAAGTTTTCCTTTCAATTCCCCAATGATACTACTCCCACGACAACTAAGTGGTCACTAACTACTAAAAAAAAAAAATAATTTAGGAGTCGGATGATTCGAGTGGTGATAGTGAAACTAGAGTGCGTGCGCGCACACAGAGGAACGATGAAAATGCAGTAGGAGATACTAAGATTGGCAGCCTATGTAGGATCAGGTCGCCAGTTAATATTTCAAGAGGAACGTTATAAGCTAGTGCAGGAAAAGTAGGTCAGGCGGGTGTTAGCGATCAATGTCGCCTCCACCGAGTACATCACTACAACGCCACCACCACACTGCTGTCACAACCATCACTGCCACATAATTTACAACCATAACCCCGTCCAGAACACCACACCACAGTTCTGTCACCACCACCAGGTGAAACTGCAGATCTAGAGTGTCTACAGAGAACCTTTACTGCACATACAAGTTCTATCAACTACTGGGAACGCTTGGAAGCACTTAACTTGTACTCGTTGGAACGCAGGTGAGAGATTTATCAAAATTTACACTTGGAAAATTCTAGAAGGGATGGTCCCGAATCTGCACACAGAAATCACTCCCTACGAAAGTAAGAGACTTAGCAGGCGATGCAAAATACCCCCAATGAAACGTAGGGGCGCCATTGGTACACTAAGAGAAGACACCGTAAGTGTCCGGGGCCCAAGACTGTTTAACAGCCCACTAGGCATAAGGGGAATTACCAATAGGCCCCTGGCTGCCTTTAAGAGGGAGCTGGACAGATACTTAAAGTCGGTGCCAGATCAGCCGGGCTGTGGTTCCTACTTTGGACTACATGCGGCCAGCAGTAACAGCCTGGTTGATCAGGTTCTGAACCACTGGGAGGCCTGGTCATGGACCGGGCCGCGGGGGCGCTGATCCCCGGAATACCCTCCAGGTAGACCTCGACGCCATCGCATGCCTGTAACTACCACCGCCACACCAATCACCAATTCCACCAGTATACCATGGGCACTACGTCTTCCGCCACCACAGGCAGTCTGGGGGCAGGAAGGACAACTATGTAGCAACAGATTACACCCTTTAAGTTAGCCATATCAGTTTTTTTCCAGCTAGTCTCACCCTTAAAAAAAAAAAAAAAAAAAAAAAAAAAAAATCACCTTGCACTTTCAATGTAGATCTGAAGAATAATAAAGCAGGTAGCTGTAGATATTTTTTTTTAATACATACATGTATATCGAAATCCATATAAAAAAAGTACATAAAAATGTATCATACCAGCCTTCCTTTTTTTTCCTTGCACGTCTCGAAAAAGTCTTAACCCTCATCACTATTATATTCAGATGGAAGAATATTAAGCACTGCCGGAACCAATTTAGAAGTCTTCGTAGAGGTACTGGTTGAGTTTCCGCTTTTAGTGGCGGACCAGGCTGTGATGGATATGAGGGCGAGCGGTTCACCTGGTTGACCAAGCAAGCACCAGACATGCCTGGCCCAAAGTCAGGCTGTGGGAGTAAAGGGAAACTCTCGAAACCAATCAAAGGCATATTAAAAATATATAAATCCTGTAAGGATCATTCATAGCCGGGAAAATGGGAGGTAATCAGATCTGACAGGAGGAAGAAGAAAGCTACAATTCCTTGGATACTCTCATCACTTAAGCCCGTAGCAGTAATAGTAGTCCAGACTGCCTCAGGGACCACACATCAGGAGGGGTCCCAGACTGCCTCTCACCCTCAACTTTCACACGAACGCGGTAAAGAACACAATATCCAGTTTTTACGACGAGCGGGTTAATTCCCCACCAGCTGATGACGTCAAACCTCACCCTTGATATACTGTTACCAGCAGACGCTGAGTTCTCCTTCATGGGTGAACATCTTGCCGAACCAGCAGACTTGAACGGCGGGGCATCAGTGTGAACTATCCCCAGAGAACATCTACGAAAAACCACACCAGATATCGTTCTTCCAGGGAGGGCGCGCGCACGCGCGCACGCACGCGCACACGCACACGCGCGCACGCACGTGCACGCACGTGCACGCACGTGCACGCACGCACACGCGCGCACACACACACACACACGCACACACACACACACACACACACACACACACATTGGTGCTCATCTCTTTTCCTTCACTGTCACGGGTCACTGGCTCGTTCTCGCCTTGTGGCTGTGATATACCTGTGACCAGTTTCGAGGACTCTTCTACCCTCGCAGCCCCTCACGAGTCCAGGCTTGCATGCTGAATGCCTGGTCAGTCAGGCGGTGATGATGGTTGGGCCTTGTACTGAGCTTAATGTCCAGTTTAATATTCTCGAGTCATAACTGCCGTGATTGACAATGGTCCAGAAGGGACAAACGTCGTCATAACGCTCATCTAAGTGCGGATTTTTGGCGAATTTTTCCCAGTCACGGTACTGAGACACTATTTTTAAGTCTTATCCCTGTCACATTTTACTATTTTTGGGAGTAGTTAGGTCAACTTTAGATTAATCCCTTTTCATCACCAACACCACTGTTGTCCCTTCAAGGAAAAAAAATAAATGTTAGAAATTCTAGTCCTGATGGGCAGAATGACGTCATAAAACTTTGAACCTACTGGGAATATTCAAGTGTTTTGTGCAAGGTATCTTCGGGATGCAACAGCTTACCTGATGTAAAACACGATTACACCAGTCAGTACTACTTCCTCGTCTTACCAACAGTGCGCATCACCTGCTCCTCAGCTGAGGGGCTGATTACTTCGTCTTCCACTGTCTTCTGTATACATTTCTAGTCTTCACATTATGTTCATATATTAATAAAGCAACTGGACTGTGAAAAGTCTACAAAGTAAGTCATAAGTTGTACACGTGTCTATAACTACAGTATTATACCTAAAATCCTTATGCCTCGCCCTACCCCCTAACCAGCCATACACACACCACTTCCCATTGTGCCTGCACCAGCTGTGCCATCAACTGACCACCTCAAATTCTCAGCAGGTAACACGTGTACTAAAAACGGGAGAATGTCAAGGCTGAAGGCCACACACCTTCCTGTGTAGAACAACTCGCTAGTTTTCCCTGCCTGCCACTCCCACCAGCATAGGTCACCCGGCCATCTCCACCAGCACGATCATAGGTCGCTGCCACACCTGTATCTATAATACCCGCCACCTCTAGGGCTAAGGAAAAAAAATATCTTAAGTCGCACGATCAAGAGGTGAAATACAAGCTTTATAATTCAACATAGGGAGAAGAAAAATACCAAAGAAAAGTCAGTTCTTATGATAATTTAAGTTCAGCGCTAATGTGTCATTCGGGAAAAAAAGCGAGAGGATCGAGCCACCGTCTGTTTAATTACAAGAGGGACCGTGTGCATTCACCCAGTAACTGCAGTGGTCTCTCCTCTAGATTCATCATGTAAGCGGTGAATGGAGGGACATTTCTTACTGCTACTGACACGTGTGATCAACCCAAGTGGTGTGAGAGGAAGGATAAATCACTTACGCTCAAGTTATCAACCAAAATCATGGAGTAAAGGGAAGGATGTCCAGTTATCTGTTCATTAATTTTAACGGCGTTAAAATGAATGAACTCGAAGCAAAAGAAGTAGAAGAGCTATCCTCTACCGTCAGGCTGAGCTGAAACTCAAAAATTTCCCAAGCAGCAGCCATACAGTTATCAAATTTAAACTCTGCCTTACAACATTACAAGGTATACCCAAGACGCCCCTGCGACTCGGTCCAGACCAGGCTTCCTGGTATACTGCCTGATCAATCAGTCTGTTACTGTTAGCCGTATGTCAGAGAAACTACTGCAGAGTGAAATCTGTTCTGGCTGGCTATCCTTA